AGGATGTTCAGAAGAGGAAAGGCTTGCTGGATGCAGCTCCCCTTCCCTTCAAGTGCTGTTTCCCCCAATTCCCTCAGTTACATTCAGACAGCTGCACGTTCTCTGCAGGGTCTCTTAGTTCTTTGTTTGTTCGTATCAGGGTCTGTTAGTTCTTTGTTCGTATTATTCTGGAATACATTATGCTACAATCTTGTCTCTCTGCCCCCTCAAGAGCTGGCAACATCAAGGCAAAGCAGGGTAGGGCAGAGGGATACAAGTAGCGCCAAAGGCCATCAGGGGCCAGTTTGGAGCCCAGGCTCTGTGACTACCTGGCCTCACTTGAAGCATCATTGTCATGTAATTTGGCTTTGGGAGTCTAGTCTGCCTGACTTTCCATCCCTGCTGTGTGGTGATGCGCAGAGATCAAATTTCATAAATTATAGTTATGAAGTACCATGTGCTTCTGGGGCGACTTCTGAGTTCTGTGACACCTTGGACCTTTCTCTACTCTTTCATTTATACACAATATATGCATGCACTAAAGAATTAGAACCAAGGATGCTGATGTAAGGTGGAGAAGCAAGACAGCGCCTGCCGTTGATGGTGGGAATCTTGCTTCTTGGGGCCTGAGGATGAAGCTCCAAGGGGCACAGAGAATAGTTCTGACCCAACGACCTTTTCCTACTATCGAGAACTACTGTTTCTATGCCCAACTCTTCACAGATGTGGATGAGCTTATCAATACCATAAAGCAGGTATTGTATGCTTTATAAAAGCATCGACATCCTTACTGTAGAGTCGAGTAAATCAAGTCAGAAGAAAGGGAAGAACTGTGTTGATGGCCACACATCCAAAATTGGCCTCTGGGCTGGATATGCTAAAGCAGGGTCTCAATCTGTGGGTTGTAACCTCTCTGAGGGGTCGAACAATCCATTCATAGGGGTCATATATCAGATAGCCCGTACATCAGATATTTATATTGTTATTTACAACAGTAGCAAAATTATAGTTATGAAGTAGCAACAAAAATAATTTTATGGTTGGGGTCACCACAGCATGAGGAACTGTATTAGAGTCGCAGCATTTGGAAGGCTGAGGACCACTGCGCTAAGGCCTGTTGCCTGGGTACGACGCCTTTCCTGAGTACAAACCCAGCTCTGGGTGAGAAGGATACTCTCAGGTCATTTCTTCACTGCCAGGAGGATCCAGGAATCCCCCAGTTAAGGCCGATTTCCTCTGAGAGGAATCTGCCACTGAAAGATATTAGCAACTGGGAAGCACCTGGCCCCATGGCCGAAGAGGCCACAGTTGTACATGCTGTGGTGTCGGAGGGTGGAGGGAGATAAACCATCTCACTGGTTGAAAGGTTAGCTGGCTCAGGGGCTGTGAACAAGAGGTAAGACCAGGAAAGCGAGATGAGGGGTGGACTTTGTTTCGGTCCTACAACTCACCAGTCATGTGACTGAGGAATGCCATGTTTTCTTTCCGGATTTTCTCTCTTCCTCTACCTCCCGTCCTATTTTTTGAGACAGCCTCACACAGCCCAGGATGACCTGGAACTTCTGATCCTTTTGCCTCCACCTCTGGAGTGCTTTGATTATAGGCGTGAGCCACCACACCTGGTATATGAAGGCGTGGGGACTAAACCCAGCATGCTAGACAAGCATTCTACCAACAGAGATACACCACTAATCCCTTCTTCTCTGGGACTATGAAATGAGGGGTGGTCGGTCCTCATATGCTCTGAGTCTCTTAATTCTTCAAACAAAGACCATACAGGTACAGACACCATCCATGAGCATTAAAGACAGACTCCCACTCCGTGGAAAAGGATGGACTTTTGCCTTGTCCCATCTCTGGCTGACCCTGGTATTTTTATTCCCTTCAAAATAACCTTTGAAAGGCCAACCTGCAAACTGTGGAGCGAGGTCCTCTGCTCTGCGGGGCACCGCCATTAACATTTGAGAAGAGACTTGCTGTGTGCCTGCCTGCAGCAGATTTAAAGCTGGCTCCTGGGAAGACTGAATGCCAAGAGAAGGCCAAGAGCACCTGCTGGATCAGAACACCATGCACCCTGGTACTCCCCGCTCCAGAGCCCCTTAGCCTGGCAGCTGAGACTCACTAGGCAGCTTCTCCTGGCTTTCTGATGATCCCTGACATGGCTCATCAGGTGACCTTCATGGCTTTACCTGGATGTTTTGTCCAAGAACCAAGAAGGAGGAAGCTGACTTTTTAAAAATGTATTTTCCCTCTAATTGATGCACAGTCATTGTATGTATTTAAGGGATACAGCGTGACATTCAGCGCACAGAGACTGCAGTGATGACTTACCTATCCATCACCTCAGACACTTACGTATTGAGGACATTCAAAATCCTCCCTACCGTTACTCTGAACTAATGAACTGCTGTCAATCATAGCTACCCTACCATGTAATAGAGCATGAGAAGCTATTCCTCCGATTTAACTGCACCTGGTGACACTTTCCTTCCATTTCCTAACTCTCCAGGCTCATGTGTCTAGTTTCCTTTTCTTTGAAATTAACGGTTTAGCTCTCATAACTATGGAAGTACATGTACAGCCTCTGAGGTCCATTGTAGCCAGGCACTAAAAGGCAAGAGGGGAGGGAGTCAGGAAATCCAGATCTAGGGCTCTCAGGTGAAGCATTTGCCATGCAAGCACAGAGGCTGGGTTTAGCTCCCTGGCATCCATGTAAATGCTGGGTCAGGCATGGTGGCTTGCCTGTAATCCCAGAACACAGGAGGCTGGGACAGCGGATCCCTAGGCCAAGTTGACTAGCCCAAATAGCTAAATTGTTGAGCTCTAGGTTCAAGTAAGAGACCCTACCTTAATATAGAGGGTGGATAATGACTGAGGAAGCCATCTGACATCAGCTTTCAGTCTCTACATGGACATACACATATTCACATGCATCTTCACACAGACACTACAACACACATGCATGCACACATACACTCACATCCTACCTACACACATGTAAAAAAGATTCTGAGTTCATCACCACTCTCCATTTTAGACATGTTCAAGGCCCCTGTACAGATGATGATGATATAGTCTCTCTTCTTTCTTTCTTTCTTTCTTTCTTTCTTTCTTTCTTTCTTTCTTTC